CCTTCCTCCGCTATCCTGAATACTTAAATATTTTAGAATTTAGTTATTATTCAATAAAGATCAAAGGACGGTTAGTGATCTCTAAATTCATTATCATAATTCATGCTCCATTAAGTCCTCTTATGATGTCCAGAGTCCTTGGAACACTTTTAAGAACAATTTTATTAACGACAGTCAGTAATTTAGCTAAATATGATTTTAATGCTTAGAAACTCTATTTATGAAACCTGCTTGTTTAAAACTGCTTGGAAACAATTATTTGTTTTAAGTATAATTTTTTAATTTTTTGCCACTAATCAAACCTGTTATTAATATCATTCTGAAAAGTTACTTAGTATAAGAAGTTAATTTAATCTATTTTTAACAAGTTATTTGAAAAACAAATTTTTTTATAAGCTATTATTTATGAATAACATTAGGATTTAACAAATATTTATATAAAAATTTATTAAATATTATATAATAAAAATTATATACAATCAACTTCAGATATAACAAACCTTTTTATAATCTATAATGAATTTTTAATATCAAGTTTGGTATAAAACCATAGTAAATTACTATATAAGAAGCTTCTGTAAATTTTTTACTAGATGCTTTATAATATATATTTTAATAAATATTTTCATTTATTGAATTTGTAGCTAAAAATCAATTTTTGGGTTAAAAATCATCTAGAAGTTTTTTATTGTTTACAGAAAGATGTGACTTTATAATGTATTAATTAGAGTTGGAAACCTAAACCTTTTTTCTTAAACCTAAAAGTTTCAGGTTTCGCTTATAGTTATCAAAATATAATCAAAACCCTAAACTAATTTCTAAATCCTAAACTAATATTGAAATCCCAAACCAATACTAATATTCTAAACCTATGCTAAAACCTAGTTTTCTTAAACCTAAATTAATATAAAAACTCAAACTAATCCTAAACTAATACTGATATTTTTAAAATATTAAAATATATTTTATATAAAGTTGGTATATAATAAAACCTCTATAAGTACACTCTTTATAAGTATATATTCTCCTTAAATATATATTCAAATTCAGGTTTAATAATATAGATAACCTTTATAAATTTATTTTTTCTTATTGTTCTCTAGGTATATATTATTAAAGTTAAATTTCATATATGTATACTTATAAAGGTTTTACTGTATTTAATATTAATTGAAGATTTTAATATTAGTTTGGGATTTTAGTATTGGTTTAGGATTTTGGTTTGGATATTCTATAGAATAGGTGGGCAATATAAGACATAAGCTTCGCTAATAATTAGTAATCATTATTTTTTAATATCGGAGTTGCAGAGTTAACGGAGTTTGTCCACCTATTCTATAGAACATCCTTAGGTTTTAGTTTAGGATTTGGGGTTTAGGTAAAAAATATCTAATTCAAAACTAACAAATACTATATCCTAAACCTAAAGGGTTTAGGAAGGTTTGGGTTTTGGTTCCCATCTTTAGTATTAATGCTATCGCAATTTAAATACTATAAGCTTCGACACATTTTCATTTGGAAAGATCAAAGCCTTTTTCTGCTTTACAGCTGTTATAAATTCACTAATGATTAATTATTCGCTAAGTTTTTGTTCTCATTATATATATTTTTTTTAATAATCCGGAGTGGTGTTATACCTAAACCACACTGCTATGGAGTCATAAAAAGATTTTATATGATTGGCTATTTAAATCAATTAAATTTTATATTATTTACTGTATATAGTTTAAAATACTTTTTTAAAAAAATAAAACTACAAGGAATACAGAATAAATAAAAAATATATATAAAGAAAAGTTTTATTAAGGTCGTAGGACTCCACTATTAAAAATAACCAAAATCTCTTTTTGTTTTAGAGAAGTTAGCATAATAACGACTTCTGAAAAATGGATAAGATTAGGTTATTGTCATGCTAACTTCTCTAAAAATAAAAAAAAGCTTTCTATATGCTTTTTTAAAATTATTTTTTTAAGAAGTACTTTAAATTGTATACAGTAAATGATATAAAATTAAATTAATTTAAACAGCCAATCATATGAAAGTCTTTCTATGAGATAAGGAGTTTCAGAGTTACTTGGGAGTACCTTGCTCCATTAACTCCATTAACTCCATTAACATCCCTATCTCAAACTATCTTCTGCACTCCAACGAAAAAAATTATACATGGCGTAGAAACTATTTCGGCATTGATTTTTGATATGAAATGCCTGTTATTTCAGAAATAATTCATTAAAAATCAAGGTCGAAATACTTTCGGCAATGCTGCAATGCCGAAATAGTTTCTACGCCATGTATAGCCATGCATAGTGTATATCTACCTTAATCCAATGCTGACTAAACCTAATAAGAAATCTTTATTATATATTATGCATTTAAATTTTCGCATTCGAATTGTTTGAATTTTTAATTTGACGTAAGTCACATGTTTCCAATACTTTCTGACGAATATTTCCACTTTCAAGAATCGAGACTGTGTCTAATACTGTAATAATGTGATAATTAACCAATTAGAAGTTGTAGTCAACGCATTAACCATTTTGTACGTTAACGTTCTTTACAAAAATCATATTTTTGCGATATCATTAAAATATTCTAAATCTAATGTAAATTATTAAGAGTGTAGGTCGTCAAGAAATTTGTTTCTTATTGGTGCTAGTTAAGTTAATAATGATAATGGTTTTTCATATTTCCATAAAAAAAAACTTAGTCTAATTATTTGTTAATCCTAGTAAGAAACCATATCGATATACAAGTGACTCTCGACATAAGAAACCTTCGATATAAGAACACTAATTAAACTCTCGATATAAGAAAGATTTGTAAAATTTTTACTATGGACCCGACTACCTTTCTTATGCCGAGATTCACTTGTATATAGTAAGAAAAATTTTCTCTTGCCTCTTATCTCGATTATTTTAATGCTACCTACGTATATATCACGATTTTTGCTGATTCGTTAGCGATTTGTCATGTGACCGATTGCATTTTTATGATCATTTTTATCAGATTTTCTGATAACTTAATTTTCGCGATTATCATCTATCGCTATAAAAAAAAAAAAAAAATGGGCAAAGCCCAACGAAAAAAGAAAGCAAAGTCAATGAAGTCAAATCCGATAATAGATGAATCTACCTCTACGAATTCGGAGGAGAATGATACTTTAAAGCTGCAAAATATTCTAGAAAGTGGTGATACCTTACCCGTAATAAAGCAGGTTTGCTTTCGACCCTTTTCCGTGAAATTTTGCTTTCACCAATTCGCTGTTTGCCCTTTTCAAAACGCCTAGGATATGTCAATTTTTCTTAGCAGACCTTTACAATAGTTATACTCACCTGACGCTAAAGAGCGTGCGTGGGCTTCAAGTTGTTCTTCAAATCTCATACTGGGTGACAGAAAAATTCGTCGTCTACTACTATCTCAAAATCTTATTAGTGCTCTCATTGAGCGATTGACCGATGATTATGAAATAACACAAGAAGCTCTTGGCACATTAAGGTAATACACGTGCCGTACTGTTAACTGTCAAAAAGCATTCTCACGTGACTATTATAGAAACCTTACGGTCGTTGATGAGCATGAGATCTGTGTCGAAATGTATAGAAAAGATATACTTACTCCACTGATGGCATTAGTTCCAAAGGTAAAAGGATTTCTGACTTTTGGATTTCACTAAATTTCTGAAATTAAACAACTTTCAATTTATCTAGGTTTCTGAAATTATCGATAATATTCTTAGAGGAGTTCCTACTGAATCAGATTCAATTGCAGATGCGAGAAAAACTATATGGAAATTTGCGGAAAATATTATCTGTATAATTTGGGCATTAGGGTATGATTTTGTTACAAAATAAAATTATTATTAAATTGTTGCTTTTGTTACAATTATCACCAATTTTTTAAAACACAGCGAAACTTCCCAAGAAATACTTAGAGGCATAAATAATACGAATATTGTTCCATTTTTGATGTCTTTCCTTATCCAGTCTAGTGTTATTCCCACCAACACGGTCGTTGCTGCTGGTATGTGAATAAACGTGACAAAACAATACAATTACCGATATCTATTAACAACATATTTTTCTTTCAAACATCAAGCTCAATGTCTACACACTTTAACAGACGAAAATCCCGACGTCCACATTCACTTCCAGCAGAATCCACAATATATACAATCATTATTGAATATCATCAAGCTTGATGAAAATGGCACCTCGTCAAACGAACATTCGTTGTTTATCAAAGTCCTATGCTGTGGTATTACAAAACGTGTATACTTGCTAAATCGTTTCAACCTCAGATGAATTTGCGTTTGAAGAAAACATTTTGAAATTTACAGGAATCCTATCGAATATTTGTTCCGTTGTCGACCTTTCTATATCAAAATCGGAGTCCACTTTGGATTTAAACAATTATTTGATGCCTGTGCTAATCTCTTGCTTGACTCTCGATATTAATAAAACTGCGAACGAAGCTGTTGAGAATGTTTCAGAGATTGTAAACATTTTTTGTCGTATATTTGATGCTACAATATTTTTCTGAACTTTTATTAATCAAATTATATATATATATATATATTTATATTTGGATTAGGAAAATGCACAATGCTCAGAAACCATAAAAGAACGTCCAAAATATACAATACCAACGGCAGAAGTAATTGGCCATTATAATATTTATAATCGATCTTACGTATTAATTCAACTTTTTAATCATAAATCTGTTAATAGAATAACTTAAACAGTATCAATGTGCGACTAATGACTTTACAACTTGCGCTCGAAATTTTGTCCAAAATTTTTTTGGATTGTTTTTCCAACGGTAAAAGATTGTAATTACAAGCTATTTTAAACTTGATTATTAAAATTATTAATTATTTCTTATATTATTATAATAAAGACGGTGATGATGATGGATGGCAAGATGAGTCTCAAGATGACGATATGATGTTCGCTAATGTTAAAGAAGATATCAAAGAAGATACCAAAGAAGATATCAGCATAATGGAAGATATCACTATGATGGACGCGAATCAGCCTGACAAACAATCAAACATTCATCCGATATTAAACACTTATGCTACTATTATTCTACCCAACCTTTTTAATTTAGCCCGCCCAACACATTTATCATTCCCAGAACAACTTGGTCCTAATGTGTTGCCAATGCCCTCAGTTGCCCCAGAGATCACTTCATCGCTTGCAACGGTGCATTTAAGAGCTATAGAATGCATTAACAATTTCCTTTTAATAATGGTAGATAATGTTGAAGATAAATGGTGGTTTACGCAGCATCGAGAGGATGCTAAACAAGCATGGGCATTTCTGTTTGAATTGGGTGGTCAAGTTACTGGAAAAGGAATAGGTGAACCAGGACAAGAAAATAGAGCCAAAATTCTGGATGCATTAATAGGATGCCTTTGGACTTTGACCAGAGGGTTGGAAGGCAATGTGGTATGCATTTATGAGTTTAATAATTTTTATTCACAATAAGCATAATAAAAAAATTTTTTTGTTATCCTGTAGCCTGTTACTGGTGACCAAATTCACAGTTTGATTGGTTGCTATGAGTTAGGTGTATATAATACAATGCGTGTAAAGATAATTGGTACATTAGGCGTGATTGCGAGGCGGCAAAATGCTATAAACGATAATAAGGTTTGATTTAATGTTTATTGTAATGGTTACTTCTCTGAGCATTTAAGATAATCTCTCTGAAATTCAATAGCTGATAGGAACGTTCCTGCTAAATATTCTAAGCTCCTTAAAAAATGATTTAGCGTCTCCGGAATGTGTAATCGAAGTTCTCAACGCTATATATGACATATATGCTGACAAAGATTTTGATTATGATGAACCTGTTTTTGTTCAAGGCGGCTATCTACCTTTGCTCGAAAGTATGGTCGATACAGTACGCAAAATGGTAAGTGTAAAGTCAAAATAAACCTATAAAAAATTAGTCAATTACTGATTCCTATATAATCTCGCAGACGAAATCTATTGATAAGAGAACGTCACGTGATTTACGTCTTCGTGCGGATGAAGCTTACGAAAATCTTATTGCGTTTATAAAGTATAAAAAAGATGAACGACATAACTAGACAAATATAGATATTTCAAAAGTGGCCTAATTAAAGGCTAAATTATTTCTTGATTAAATATTTTTATTACATAAATATTTTTTTTAAAAAAACTTATTTTGTGCGACGTATTAATTACGTGTCTACTGATTTCATACCGTGTCATCGCGAAATAACGTTATTTTGATGCACAAATTTCCAGAGCCAAGAATTAATTTGACGAATATAAGGAATAATTTTACTCTTTACAAATTATCGTCTAAATTAATTCTTAGTTCCCAGGAAATTGTCTCGAAATAACATCGAGGCGTTTATTTCGCGCAAATACAAATATTAATTAAAAATATATGCTGTGCTTCAAACTGGTTCAAATAAATATTGATTTGTATGTACGTACAAGGAATTGGAAAATCTGCAGACGAGTGCCTAATGCAGTTATGATCAACTCTATACCAACTATGTATTGGTTTTTTTTTAGTATATATAGTGTAATATTAATTTTGTAAGTTTGATAATGTGCTTTAAAAATACTGTTTAAATTTATATTGTGTCTTTATTCATTTTATTACAGTATAAAGACTGCAAATATAAAGATAGTAATCAAAGTATTTATTCAAGTTAATCAGCTTGTAATGGTCAGATTAAATGGGTTGTTGACGAAATAGGTTATTACAGCTTTAGTGATTTATTTTTTAAAATACTATATCAAGATCATAGCAAAAATAGCTTGATCTGTATGTGCACAAGCGGAAACTTAGTTTCCGCTAATACCCAATAGATATTTTTATTATGAAAAGCTTTAAAACACAGGAGAAAGACTTATCACAAGTACAACATAAAATAGATACGAATGGTATTTCTCTTTTAAGACCGATTATTTAGCATGACTAATAAATAGTGTACTATATATATATATACAGTCATACCTGAGTTATATCCCCACTGGGTTATGTCCCAACCTGAGTTATATCCCCATATATAAGCAGAATAAATTTCCTTTTTTTGTTTTTATATGTTTTATATATTGAGTACCTTAGCTATATCTCCAAAAATGCTCTGGAAAAAGGGGTGATATAACCCAGGTATGACTGTACCGGTATTTAAGAGGTAAATCGCGATTAAAGGGTACGATTTACTATGGTGTTTTTTACACCTATCGCTATGGATATATTATCTCAAGAATAGCTAATTAATCGGTGCGGGGTGTTCTAAGTAAAAATGTTCTATGCCCTCCAAGAACCCTAATCCTAATCCTAAATACTAACCCTAATGTGAAGAAAATTTGCATTAAAAATACGTAAAACGCACCTATTATACGTTTTATTATGTATTTTATAAGTTTTATATAAATTTTTTGGCGCAAATTTTTTCACGATAGAATTAAAGTTAGATTAGGATTTGGGAAGGGTTTTTGAGGATGTAAACCATTTTTACTTAAGGCAATTCGCACCGATTAATATCTGATATAAATGCGTAGGTATGGTGATTTTGCACCTATGGTATGTTTTTAAAATTTTTGATACCAATTTTTTCATGTTAGAGTTAGTATTTAGCAGTTAGTGTTTAGGATTAGGATTAGGGTTCGGGAAGTTTTTGGGAATGTAAAACATTATCCAGTTTTTGATATAGGCGCTTTTTAGTAAGAGTCGTAAAAACATGATAGGTCGTTTTATAACAAATATGGTAAATTTAATAGTCAGCAAACTTCTCGAGTTTATAATAAATATAAAGCAAGTTATTACCATTCTAATCGCGTCATTGTCAATTTTTCCTTCATGCTTATTTTGATTTTTATATATTGCCAGAAACTTTTTTTATTCCAATATTATATGAAAGTAATGAAAGTAATAGTAATTCACTTTTTACTATGAAATTTATATCCTCCAATTGCGAACTACCACTTAAAAAATTTATCTATAGTGTGTGCGCAAATTTTGGATTTTGATTGGTTGATCAAATCAAAACAACGTTATCTATTATATGATATTCCGAAAATAGGGGTTGGCTAAAGCGGAGCGAGTTTTGAAAATTAGCATAATTTAACTAAATATTAGGGTTAAGGCCATTTTGAGGTAATATTAGAGAGAGAGCATCTGTGTAAAATTGCCTCCCCGACATTTTGTTAATGCATCAGAATAGGTTTTAACGAACATTTCTTGTTTTGTACTTTTCTCTTAATTTTACAATTTACAATTTGATTGGTTGATCTCTGTCGATCATCAAAAATCCACTTTGCTTTAATCACTTCCCGAAAATAGCCGTTTATCTTCGGCAGTTAGTATTAAAGTCGAGTGGAAACTGATACTAAAATATTGTACGTAAGGAATTTTTTTTTATTAGAACACGAAAGGTAGTTTCATAAAGCCGTGTCCAATTACGTATTGATCTACATATTGCATAAATCGTATTCTTGATATTTTTATAAATCACTCGCCCTAAACGCATCAAAAAAGTAACCCATAACCAGACACGGCTTTAGCCGTCTCCTAGAGATTTTGCAATTTTATGTTACACCAGATCTTGTTATTTGATTGGCAGTGAAGAATGGCGCGATATATTTTGTCCAATCAAAAAATGGCATAATGGGCCGAGAATTATGATTCTATACAGTATATATTTTATAATATATATATATATATATATATAATTACTTTTTTTACATATATAAAGTAACTATACAGACATATTATACGTAGTTATAGCAGTTTAATTCGGTCTTGATCTTAAAAATCAAGTTTTTTTAGAGAATTACGAACTAGACCATGGTTCATGTTCACAAACCAGTCTATTAAACATCTAACCCATAACGATCAAGATTAGAGTTTAGAATAAGGTTAGGGTAGGGCAATAAAAATGTTTTAAAATTTGTAAAAAAAATTTTTGTTCGTGCCAGAGTGCAAAAAAAGAAAATAGTTTCACTACTTTGATTCAACGTTATACCTCACCCTACAACCTGATTGGTCGGTCAGAGTAGTGATATAACTTTCTTACAATTATTATTATAGCGATAGGGTTCAGAGTTCAGACTGGTCCTCAATTCACGGACCAAAAACTACTTGAAATAGTCAAAAGAACGGTCCGAATAATATCTTTTCGGTACCGTGTCTTTAGTGGAGACAAGGCACGTATTCATTTAAAACTGATTTGTAACACTATTTTATTATAAATAATTAACTATTATTAGAAATTGTTTATGTCGTTCAAAAAATATAATGATAAACCCAAAAATAATTACATCATTATTAGGTATACAAAATTTATTACATCATCACCATTAGGTATTTAAGTAGATTTTCGTTTCCGTCCATGCTTTCGCTTAAAGCGATTTGTTTTTCTACTTTAATTTTAATTAAAATAAATTCCTGCATATATAATATTATTTACCACTTTACAAACTTATTTATAGGGACACAAAGTCATCCCATATTTTTTTTCCGAGACTTTTTTGGTTTATAAATACAGTTATTAAAATGTCTTCTGAATCAATATCAACTACTGAAGCCTCAACGGTTCACGATCTCACGTATTATGTAAATATAATCAGGCGTTATTTAAACCCTCCATCTGTAACAGCGATTAACTCGGATGGCGAACAAACTAGCGATGAAAGACTACAATATGCTATAAAATATTATCGTGAAGCATACGAACTTTTTCCTAGTTCTTATGATATTAAGGTACGTATTCTAAGCACCGGAAATATATTCACAATTCTATATTTAACAATGGAAGAAGATTGTTGAGGCCATATCTCATTATTTATAAAAGCAATACAACCTGTTATTCGTTAAAATAAAGGATGCGATAATCCTAAGTAAAAATTGGCACATATATTTCTTGTTTTTTTGATGAATTCAAAATATTTTATATAAGTCCATTTATAATATTAAATTTAATAATTTCTAACTATCAATTTGGGTCCTTTATCAAACAGCTCTTAGGACATAGAATTGCAATCAAAGAAGGCAACATGACTCAAGCGACGATTCAATTTGATGAATTGTAAGTTTCTTTTCTGAAAAGCAAACATTTTTGCTCCAGTTTCTTGTGTATCTACCTATTTATTTGCAAATAATTGTCATTAGACAATTGATTGTTCACCAATGCTGTTACTATGTTGTAAAAAAAAAAAAATAATAAAATAAATCGAAATCAAATAAAATTTAAAACCTAGACGTACGCTCCACTCTAATCATGAACCATTAAAGAAATATCTAGTCGAGATAACGTACTCCGTACGCCATCGGACAATGGACGACAATTTCAGTGAGTAAAAAAATATATATATTCTTGCGCGTTCAGGCACGTGCAATTGAGGCGCTGAGCCTGTGTTTACAGCCCAATAGTGTGGATTTTGGCTTAAGAAAAGAAAAAAAAATTAATAATATGGAGCGAAGCCTTGGGAAAAAGCTATTTATCCGTGCGCCATCAGGTTTTTAACAATAAAGAGGTTCGACATTTAATTACCTCTGTTCTATTTGGGGTGTTTAGAACTGTATACGATATAAGGGAGCAACATGATGAAATTCTCCAAACTGTATACGATATAAGGGAGCAACATGATGAAATTTTCCATATATTTGTGTAGCGACTAATAAGATCCTAACAAAGTTGCAACCCTATTCTAGTCATTCTTATAATTTACACGAAAAAGTTGAAACACATTTTTTATACAACATGATAATATTTTATCTACGTTAAGACAGCATTAATAGAAACAAAAAAAAGTAGATTACCAGAGAAAGTGCAAGGTTAACTTTAATTAATATGTATTTAAGTGGACAGCCCAAGAATTTGATGGCGCCTATTTGTTCCAATCGATCGCGTATTTTTTTTTGGAACTAAATTGTATAAAGAATAAAACAATCATATATTATCTTTATCATCTTCTATTATTAACTTTTGTTTTATTACAGCATTTTTCTTACGACTTCCGGCTCGAACTCAAAAAGAAGTGATAATAAATAGTGCCGGTAATCTTTATTTACCTTTTTAATTATTTAAGAGATATATTGTTATGTTAATGCTTGACATTATTCTCCAATTATAGTGTGGTATGAAAATACAGACAATTTATTAGATGCTTGCGAATTATATGCCTTGCTATTGAAGGCATATCCAGACACTGTCACTTACTATGGGGTAGTTATTTGATGTTCATATATTTTATTATCCTTAAAAGCATTAAGATTTTGATCTGACATTCTTAAAGGCACACGCTGCTCAACTTGCATTGAAGTGCGAAACCCAACACAAACCACTTTCAGAATACAACAAGTATAGAAGATTGTTTGGTTGGTTTTAGTTGTTAATTTTTTGATTTGCATTGAAGATTTTTATTAAGTTGACTTAATTCTTTTACGAACGTAATAAAAGTTGAGGATATTTTGGATCCAATACTTCGTCAAAATATAGTCATACATGAAGTATGCCTCCCTCTTGACATTAAAGTCTTCAATCCCCAAAAAGACATACCCATTCCCATTTCAACTTCGACATCTCCACAACCCAATTATCCGACTAATTTTAACATAACTTATAGCCAGTTAAAAACATGGCTTGAAAGAGCTCAAGGTTACTATATAGCTAACAAAGAATGGAGAAAGGTGTTTGAAGTTTCCTTTACTGTAATGGCTAGTTGTGGGATCTTAAAGTTTGAGAGGTATTTTTGCAGTGGTTGATAACTCGCTTTATTTTAGATTATAAGCTTTAGAAATCCATTTGCCTGACCATAATAGTCACAAATATTCTTTTATGCTTAACGCTAACGTATTTTCTAGTGGACCGAAAACAAAGTTGGTGGCTATTTTTGACGATCCAAAACAACTGCCATCGAAAGTTTTCGAAATTCTCAACAAAGAAAGTTTAACAACATTTAATAATAGCCTAACTTATTTAGGTACCGCTCCGCATCCATTCGCTTTATCGATTGGTATAGCATGTTTTGTCCATTGCTGTCACGAATTTTACCAATTTGTGGCTGGACTAAAAAGTATGTCACCTGAGGGTATGTTTCTCCTCTTTTAATTGAGAAGTTGAGTTATAAACAACCTCATGCTATATCAATTATATCATGTCATCTCTTAAATATATATCGATAATGGATGCAAAAATTTAAGATGGCATTTAAAAGTAAAAATCAATTATATTACCCTTGGTACATATACATTTGTCTCGTCTTACTTAAACTTTCTCTTTTCAAGGTAAACAACGAACATGCCTTACACCTGTTTATGTCCCCGGACCGTCAAAGACATCAGAAACGTCTTACATTCGGTGTTTTTTTGATGACCAAAGACTAAGTAAAAAACGAAAACTAAGCTTCCTATTGTCGGAGGAGTCGGATGATGGCTATGAAAATGAAATAATCAATGATGACACTACGAATAACAACGTGAGAAACGTTATGAATGTCAAGAATCTATTAATCGAAGAACCTTCACAAGAAAAAGATCCTTCAATAACAAGAAGGGAAAAATTTTTGATCAAAGAGTGGGAAGGTATAATAATGTTTTTTTTTTTTAAAAAAAAAAAAAAAATCGTATAACTGGAAATTTTGTTAATTTTATATTACGATTTTTTTATACGTCTCCGAAATTCACAGAAATCTACAGTATTTCAGATAATTATATTGAAGAAGCTATGTCATACAGGGAACGGGCACTAAATTGTTGGAAACTCTGCGCCACTCTAGTTGAACGTGGTGATGGTGAAACGCAGATTTTGGAAAAAGGTATATATGTGCTTAAGACACTTAAAGACATTTATAAAGCTTATGTTTAACAGTTGATTTTATGTTTCTTTTCGTAGAGTTGGAACGATTTATAGAGGAATGGAATCCTCCATTTGATATTTCCAATGCGATATTATTAACACGTGGTGATATCGCTTTATCGCAGGGACAATTGAGAGAAGCAATTACATTTTACTATGAAATATGTTCTCGTAGTTCAGGCGCCTGGGAAAAATATCGTAGATCACTATCGTCCCTATATCCGAATTCACAGTCAACACAGGATGATGAATTAGACTCTGCATCGACAGATGAATTTTCAATAAAAGAGCAGATACCTCTCTTATTACTTTTTCGAGTTTGCTATTCTATTTCTATTCTTTACCTTACGATTGACTGGTGTTCTCAAGCCCGCGTTGAGCTGTACATGATTTTGGTTGCGATACCTTTTACTCCAATCACACAGGAACATTTCGAGAAAGACGATTGGATTGTGGATAAAAAAAGGATAGAATCTACCACGTGTAGTGAAGGATGTAGACGCGAAAAGTTTCAATGGATAGAGACTACGCAAGAAGATTTGATGGTGAGGTCCGTCAAAGAGTTGATGAGGTGCTTTGAAGTAAGATGAATTTGTTTTGTTTTGTTATCATTCTTTTAAACTATATAGATATTTATTCTCCCCATTAATATTTATAGAAGGATCTTTATGCTGGAATAAAATGTTACCCATTGGGCCAAACATTAGATCAAACATTGGGTAATATAATTGTTTTATCTCAATGTGGCTGGCCATATTGGCGCGATCGGATGTTTCGGCCAGTAGTCATACCACTAATTAAAAAATGTGGAGGATTAATTTACCCAGATCTATTGAGATTTGTAAACAGTGAGTAAATAAACTTTAATAATAGACTTTGAGCATATTACTGATTTAATATTCATTTAGATATTGACATTCTTCGTGAACTCTTGGCGTTGTATCATGAATCCCCAAATCTAAAATTTTCTTTTTGTCCAATATCGAAGAATGACCAATCTGTTTCTACGAATATATCGATACAAAATTTAGAAAGATGTATTAATCGCCCTTTATGTAATGAGACTTTGGTTGCATTTTATCGGGAAAGGTTAAACGACAAATCATTAAATATGGTGTGAAAAGTTTAGACATCCGGTACTTTAAATTGTGAAAGATTTTTATTTTTTAAACATAAATATTAAAATACATTATTAAAAGTAACCCCTATTGAGATCTGTAATATTATGTTTTTTTTTTTTTTTTTTTTTTTTTTTTTTTTTAATATACAGTAGAGTTTTTTTTAGAAATGAATTTTAATAGTTATTTCAGATTTTTTAGTGCTAGCTAATTGTTATTGGTTGTTTTACTTGGAGTTAAACTAAGTGTAATTTTAATTAAAAAATTTTGTACATAAGTATATAATTTATATTTGATTAAATTTTGAAAAGTGGTATTTTTACGTTATATCCATGTCTATATAAGAAATTAATATTTTTACTTCCCTTTTCGATAATGCTACACCTTTGTTATACGTATGTATACATAATTAAACTTTTTAACCAAATCCGATAATTTTTTTTCATTCAAATTTTTACAATTAAAAAAGCTAATTATATCTAATCTGATTATCTAATCTGGTTATCTAATACGTATGGGCCGGTGCAAAAGGTTTGTAAGTACCTCAAATAGTTGATTAACATTTTTTTTTTACAATTTTATAACTTTTTAATATAAATATTAGATAACCGGATTAATAATATAATTTTATTATTATTAAAATAAAAAATATTATTGCGTAGTTACTTTTTTTAAAAAATATTTACAAAATAATTTACTATATAAATTTACTAGTAATTTATATAGTAAAAAAAATTAAATTATCTAACTTTAAAGCTTAATTTTTTCATAACTAATAATCCAATTTTACTTAAATTTTTTTAGAGAAATGTACAGATAAGGGCCCAAAAACGAAATAATTACAAATAAAGGTCCAGAATGAAAAGAATTACAGATAGAGGCCCCGATATTGGAAAATTATTACAAATATGGGCCAAAATAATTATGCGTTTAAAAACCTATAATTTAAGCCCCGTTTCGATGATTTGAATGATTGTAATATAGTCATTAAGGGTGTAATTAGCTAGCTATAGAGATCATGCGCAAGTACTACGTTTAATTGAAGTAAACTTTATGGTAATTTTGTTGAAAATTCACGTTGCGAAATGCGGATATTAAGGTAGAGTGTATGTAGATGATTTTTATATAGTGAATAAAAAATTGATTTTAAAAAACTTGTTAATAATTTAACCAATTTGTATAATATGTAAACAGTTTTTTTTATAATATTGAAGTTGTGCAATATGCATTATTTTAAAAAAAATCAACTTTACATATACAGTCATCTCTCTCTATAGCCATCTCCTCTATAGTTACAAAATTAATATAATTACATTTTTGTTTTTACTTACTTTTTTTATATTATATATATGCACAATTGTTTTATAATTACTATCATATTTTTTTGTTAATCAATTATATAACATCTATATAAAATTACTCTTTATAAAATTATAAATATAACAAATAAACTTTATTCTATTTTATTATTTATTTTATTTCTTAGTATAATGGTTCAAATATATCTTTAATTTTTTTTGGTATTAAAGTGACCTTTTAATCAAGCATGTTTTATTGATTTCAGAAGTTATTATATATATTTAGAGAGTATATTCTAGCTATATTTGTGCCTTTTGAGTACCTAATTTAAGTGGTTTGTTTATTACTAGATTCTATACTAGATGTTATATCTATAACTATATATGCTACTGAAATAAGATTTCAAAAAACTCCTATTTTGTTTCTATTAGAGCAATTTGGAATTTTTTATATACAAAAGCAAATTTAATTTAGGTAGTTATATTTTTTATAATTTTGTTTAAAAAAAATATTAAAAAATTTTGTCTTTTAATAAAAATAGATTAAAACCAATTTCATCTTCAAATTTTAATTTTGTATTTTGAAATCTAAAATAATTTTGTCAGTATGTATATCTATAACCCATCTATTATTTGAATTATTCAATTAAATTCTTTGTATTTATAATACTAAGTCTACGGTAATCAGTGCTCTTCATCCTAGTTTACAATTAATTATTCAGGTTTATGTTTTACAAGATGGTTTAGGACTTTAAAGTAGGCTTTCATCTTCTTATTAACCTATTTCTAGCTCTTTATCTTTAAGATAAACCTGACAGAACCTGCAGTTTTTTCACTTTTGCTGTATGATTTATGATTTGTATTTCAGTTAGTATGTAAAGACTATAGCCTACCACTTGCAGCTCAAGTTTTATTCAATTTGAGAGTATTGTGATATTAGATTAAGGCTTTTATCTATAGTTATATTTTTCAATTTAAACTTTTTTTTTGCTTTTATTTCTTTTAAATATCAGTTTGACTTAAACTTTGTTATATAATCTACTTCTGCTTTTGTAAAGTTCATTTAAATTTCAGAACTTACTTTATGATATATCTTCAGTACTTTAATAATTTCTGCTTTTTTTTTTAAACTCCTAATTTAAATAGTCTAATTTGTACATTTATTTTTTTTCAAGTTTGTTGGTGGCCTAGTTGATATTAAGGATTTTATCTGTTTATCCTATTAGACTACCAAGCTAGTTAGCTTGATTATCTTATATTTTTCTTTACATTTAGACAGATATTCACCTAATAGTACAGCTTAGTAGGTTTTATATTGGCACTTCTAAGGGCTTTTCAGCTAGATTGATTGGACTTAGTCTATTTACAGTAACCTGGTTGATATAGGTATCTTTAATTTTTATAAATTAGCTAAATCTAGTATTTATATATATATATACATATATATCTGATCTACAATATAAGATAAAGTTTTGGTAAAATATAAAAAATCTAGAATATACAAATAGAAAAAACCAAGAAAATATTATATAAATAGAATAACCTTTTTAATTATTAGACTTATATTCATATAAAAAATCTATAAATCTAATTATAAGTTTTAAAATTAATAAAATATAACAGACTTAAACTTTGTATTTGGCTATTTATGATAATTATCTTTTTTAACTAATCAAGCTATGGTATCAAAAATGTTTTTAATTTTTGATAAAGCTAATCTTTTTCTATAGCTCTTTTACAAATTATCACTTCTCTTACTATTTCAATTTTTTGGTAATATTGTATTATTCTTTTAAGCAAGTACTCAGCATTATTTTTAAATTAGAACTTATTTGCATAATTTGTTAATTATCTTTCTAAACAAGTACTTCACAAGTTAAATACAGGAATGTTGGTATTGCTTTATATAAAAGTGAAGAGATATTAATATTGCCTCTTAGTTACTCCAATTAAGAACTAACTTGTATAATCTTTTACTATTTAGACCTTCTTTAATACTGCTATTATAATAGTATTTACATTTTATAATTAAAACTCCTTTTAAAAATTTTCTTTTCCAGAACTATACTTGTATTTAAATTTTTTACAAAACTTTATATCTAATTATAGCTTTATAAAAGTATATAAACAAATTTAAAAATTTGCTATTAGCTCAACTTAAACTATTGACCTTGTTTGTAAGAATTTAAATGCTTAATCAATAAGCTACAGAGCTCAAATTTATCAAATTATAATTTTTTTATTTAGACTTCTTTATATAATACAAACTTAATAATTATTATTTTGAAATATTAGTTTATTTCTATAAACAAATAAACAAAAATATAAAATAGTCTTTAAGAGTAGAGTATCTCATAATTTTAGGATCACATAAATTAACCAATCAAAATGCTCGATTTTGCTTATTAATAGGCAAGTTTGCCCATCAATGAGCAAAATCAAGCATTCTGATTGGTTAATTACACGACTCTAAAATCATGAAATACCTTATCCTTAAAAACCTTAATATTAAAATTTTATTAATTTAATGATAAAATTATTAATAAAAATCCAAATTGAAAATAATTATAAATAAAGGCCTAAAATAAAAAAA